TTTGTTTGTGTGTGCTGAACTGAAGGTATGACCTGCCTAAAAATGACTGTGAGCAGACCCCAAGTGTCTATCAGATTCAGGCATTCTACAATTGTCAATCATTCTAAGAAATTAAGAAACAAGTAAAACATAAAGAATTTAGGAAAACTACAGAAGTATGGAGAGACCAATCAATCCCCTCTACACGCAAGATTGCTCAAAGCCTCAAGCAGGAGATCCTGTCAGAATCAACAAGTAGCCTCCCATCAGAAACAGATGCTGCCAGGGTGACCAAGACTATTTCATCAGCAATTCGGGTTTACTCCTTAGGGAATTGAAGCAACAAAGTGACTGTAGAACTACAAAAGATACATGGAGGATCAACTTATAGAGTAGCAGGATCTAATACTGGCAAATGTGATATCTTTAAATAGGCTACAACCTGAGTCCTGAACAAGTGTTGAGTGACACACGAGAATTTGGAAAACCTGCAACATATCCATGATAATTGCAATCCATCTGAAAAAAATACACAAAGGAAAAAAAATGGATAACATATTTTAAAAATAGACATCCCACGTGTGTCATTTATATTTATCACTTTAGCTACCTTAGTACTTTAACATGAATGGCAATTACCCAATAAATTTGTGTCCGGTAAAAATAAGAACTAGTCCAGGTTATTCAATTTCAGTGAATATGCAAAATAATATTCTAGTAATTTCAGAATATTCATATTTTTAAATAAAATCCAGAATAATAAATCTGTAAGAAAAAACCAAGGTCTTACCTGAACTAACAAAGGCTTAGAACGTTGGCTATCATCTTTGTCATAAGAATAAACAACAGAAGCTGAAGATAAAAATGATCTAGGCAGAAATCACAAAAACATGCTCAAGTGGTAAAACAGAAAACACAGAAAAAATTATTCTTCATAATACAAATTTTCTTTTTAGTGAGGAATTTAAAGTAGTGGCAATTATCTTAGCATATCCTATTGTCCAAATACTTCTGTCATTTATAATAAATTAGGTGCTGAAGGAGGTATTTTAACCACAGTGACATACAATATTAAAATGCATGCTAATGAACAGCCCAAATTGCTAGAAAGATTGAAGAGTGAAATAACACAGGTCCCAATTTCCAGCACAGGATTTGCACCTCTCTGTCTTTATTGTTCATTCATTCTAGATTTTAAATCTGAATCTCAAAATTAAAATGTAAGGTTAGGACAGAATTTAGAAAGATATTCTTGGTATCCCTACAAGTTCATATTCACTAAGCTTAGCTAAGTATCAAGTTCTTTTCAATAACTTTGGTCAGAATTTTCTTTCATTTTTCTTGGTAACTATTCAAAAACTTGACACCACTTCTGTTAATCATCCAACAGAACCTTCATGTCACCTCACGTTCAGATCACCTGTACCCATCCTCACTGCTTCTCTTTATTTCCAGAGGATGATTACATATTTTGTTTAAAGCAAACCCTTACACTTATGCTATGAATCCCATCCTGTGCCATATATTGAAGATACATACTTTTTCCACCCTATAATTTCACTCTTCCTCTCTACTGCTTTTTTGTCTTAATAATATTTAAAGGTTTATTACCAAGTCATTACCACCCTAAATAACTCTCCCTTGACCCTAGTCCTACTCTAGCTATTCCCTATATATTTTCAATTCTCAACAGATTTTATCAAAAGAGTAGTCTACACACCAGTTCTCCACTTTGTCAATTGTTATTCACCCTAAAACTGCTCTGGAAAAGATTCATAACCACCAGAGTGTCAAATCCAAACGACAATTGTAAAATAATCATTGCACTGGACTTCTGGCATCATTTTGGAAACTGTGGCCACTTTGTCTAATCACTTTATTTACATCACACATCACTCTTCTTCTTGTCTTCCTACATCTCTGATGCTTCCAGCTTGATCTTTCATGTTGACTGCTTTTTTGTTCTACCTAACCCAGAAATGTTGGTTTTTCCCAGGATTCAGCCTTTAGCCATTAGACTATAAGCACTCTATAAACTCTCATTTTAAAAAATTACAACCAATTGATAACTGCTAAATCTATTGGCAATCTCCTGAGAGATTCAAATTTCCATATCTATATGCCTAGTAGAAAAAACCCACTTGGATATCTTATAGGCACTGCACACAAAACTCATCTCTTCCTCACATAAATACCTTCCTGTTCATATTGCTCATTTAATTACACTATAACCTGCCCAGTTTCTTAAACAACAACTAAATTATCCAAGATTCCTCACTGTTTCCCAATCACTCTACCAAATCTGTCTTCAAGGTATTCTGAATTTTTCTTTCTAGTGCTATGACCAATGCCATTGTTCAAACCACCATCATCACTCACCTAAACTATTATATAATCATATAACTAGACACCCCACCACTACTTCTGCCTCCTCAAAAATAGCCTACAGTGACATCAGCATCATGGTGGAGTGAGCTCTCCCCATAAACTCTCCCCACTAAGATACCACAAAAAAGACATTCGAACTAACAGAGGGCATTCACACAACACAAAAGATGTCTGAGAGACCCACACAGCCATACATGTGAAGGTAGAGGTGCTGGACCCCATGGAGGAAGTGGAAGGAGGTAAGGAGAACTCCTCTCCATCCCCAAAGGCAGCAACTCCAGGTCCATGTAGCTTGCAGAAAGGGAGGGGGGAGGGGCAGACCTCCATGGGAAAACCATCACTCTCCAAGTTCCCTCACAGCCGATGGTAAACTCACACTTGAAGGTGACTGAACTGTTGTGGGGTGCCTTC